ATAATAATAAATGCACATAACGAACTTCAACTACAATGGTGTGAACCTTGATGCCACTGTCCTCCATATATTGGATGTTGAATTGGGAAAGTTAATTAATTGGAACTGCATTTATGCATATCCCACTCTGAAATTTTGCACAATTATATAACAAAATATAGAAAATTTAGTAATATTTATTATATTTAAGAAAAATTAAAATTGAAAGTTAGAAAGCTCTAAAAGAATTAACAATTCCAATTTTTATATAATTTTAGTACAATATAATAAAACGGTGTGATAAAATCTATAAAATGAAGCTAGTATGAATTTTTTAGTTTTTTTATCAAAGGAGATATGAGCATTTGTATATGACAATACATGTGCTATTTTGTAATCTTTAATTTCAAATACCTCTAAAGGTGTATGACTTTTATGAAAATGAAGGGGGGGAAAAAATGAAGGGGGGGAAGCCTCTAGTCAAAGGGGTAGAAGGCACTGACTGACTGTGACCTGACGAGACTTCAGAATAAAAATAACGGAGGATTACTCAATGGCAGGTGCTCAACACCCAAATATGGGTTAAGAGACACATTACAATTTCAAAAGAAATAGTAAATAAGAAAGTTTCAAATATAAGCATTTGATAATATTCAAAGCACAATTAAAGAAATATGCCTATTATCTGTTAACTTATTGAAAAATCCCAATGTACACAATTCAAAGGAAATCATTGCACTGCATTGTGCTGATTAATTAACTTCTCTTGCATTTTATTCAATAATGTAAGCATTTGGCCCCACGAGTTCGAATTGAGGAAGAGTTGTCATACAAATCCTTCCCTGTTTAATTCAGATGATGCTCACACTTATTTATTTTAATTTTATTAATCTATTTCTAATTTGAGAACAATTTGTCTATTGTACACAAAAACTCATATTCATAATGAAGTAACTCATTCAATCTAATTAAATGACTACACAAATGAATTTAATTTATCTTGTCTCCCTATGGCTGTAATGTATGCATATGACAGAACTAAATTCTTTTCATTATTTGGTCCTGTTTGTCTCATTTAACCAACCCACCCAGAGTGGCATGCATTCAGAGCAGAATATATACTGTGCAATGTTGGTCTTTTGACCAAGAATGCATAATGTCCCTGACAGCAGCAATAAATACTCATTGCACACTCTTTCTTGAAACCTATAACTGTATGTCACATTCAAATCTCTATTCCTGTTTAACAAGAAATACCCGAAACCACCATTTGAGCTAGGTCAAGCCAAGTATCCAGAAAAAGGCAAGACTAGTACATGGGCTCCCCCTGATGATAACAGCAAAAACAAATGCCCTTAGAAAATTATAAATGAATTTCCATCCACCTGTGGACTTTGTTCTGAGAGTGACTGCTTCTGTGCTGGGAGACCGCACTGGTATTGGAGGGGGTGCGCCTCGAGGGGGCACTGGAGGTCTGTCACTCATCTGCGCCTGCCTTTCTCTGTTGTACTGTTGCAGAAGCTGTGTTTGTGGGGTAGGATGATCTCCACGTCTTGGAACTTCTGGAGTAGATGCACGACTAGACACTGAACTGGCATCCCCGTCACCATCATCTCCTTCAATTACCTGTTGTCTCTCTGATGTAGCAGGACTCTGAAAATGTCAGTATTTAAAATATGTTGAACAATAAAGGAGAGCTACAAAATGTACTTTACATACACCAATGAGAAATGAATAGCCTGATGTCAGTGACAATGTGACAAGACATGTACATTATGTAGATACAAAAGATACCTTGCTAA